GATTTCAGAGCAACCTTAAATATGCCCAAGTTGGATATGTCTGTCCTATACTGGATATCAGGAATACTAGCATAACTTGCCTGTCATTTCAGGAGGGCTCCACTGCAGTACTGGAGCATTTCAGGGAGGAAAAAGATGGTGAAAATATCACAAAGTGTTAACTGATTTAGATATGCTTGCTGGCCGATTATTAAATGGTAGAGATGAAAATGATGTTGTGTTATTTTAGACATGAAGAACAAAGCGCTTTGAGTCAGGGCAAAGGTTCAGGCCATTTTTAAAGCATCCAGCTTGGTCTGAGAGTTGGACTACCATTCTGGAGATGTGGGTTCAAATCCCTGCTCAGTCATGAAAACCCATTGGGTGACCTTGAAGAAGTGATACATTCTCAGCCTCCAAGGATGGCAATGACAAACCTCTCTAAATAAATCTTATTAAGAAAACCCCATGATTTAGTTCACTTTATGGCCAGAAGCAAAGTGAAGGCACACATTAACAACAATTTCCTGTACAGAGACTTGGATTTTCAAGGGTGTAAATCATGTGGCCCTTCAGCATACATTGAGCTGGCAATCCTCACCATTGACTGTTCTGACTGGGGTTGTTAATTATTTATTTTCTACGGCATTTCTAGCCCACCTTTCTCAGCACCAAGGCAACTCAAGGCGGGTTACAGATTGGCAACAATTTGATGCCACACATTCATAAAAGATTCAATTAAAAACATTCAACATAGCACTATAACAACCATATTTAAAAAAACTATTGGACTGTGGGGAGTTGCAGTCCAACAACATGGGGAGTGGAGACACATATTTGTAATCTAGACCTACTCATAGTAGGTCCACTGAAATGCATGTGATCTAAGTTAATCACAACTAACTCCTGTTGCATTGTTTTCAATGGATCAGCACTACATATGAACAAATCTGAACCATAAATTTAGAATTATAGGCCAAGTTCCATGGAGCTTGTTGTCTAAATCTAGATGTGGGTTGGTGATAAGATGTGGAATGTGTCAGAAACCACTATATGGATGAAGAGAGAAAAATGTAAAGAATGACTGTGAAACGAGTGAGGTTATTGTACTTGTGGCTAAACTAGATATAATCTGGGCAAATTTCATAATTAGAAAGATTTATCAATTTGTTTGTTTGCTTTTACTTTACAACTTGGAGTGACTAATGTGAACACAACAATAGCTTTCTTCAAACTTCCATTTCCAAAATTCTATTAGGTCAACAGGGCAAAGAGGAATAGCTTCCTCTGTCACTCTTCCATCTTACTTTCCTTCCTTTCTACATGTATATTTTCCCAAAGATTGTGAAGATTCTCATCAGTCTAGTATTCTTCTCACCAGTTCTTCTCAACACACATAAAATACTTTTTTTTGCCAATTTTATGAATGTTTTTGATTCTTCTTTCCACCTCCTACTCACCAGGCCAAGTTAGAAAGTTTGCCCATATCTGCTATAGCTGGTCAGATAAATATCAGAATGGATTTTACACACACATAGCTGTATGGTAAAATAAATTAACCAAGGTTTACCCCATGTTACAAGATTTGGGAATGTTCTAGACTTTCAGCAAAACTCCATTGCAGCCCTGCATTTCAGCATTACGACATCATACGAGCTAATTTGCCCGTTGTATGCTGGTTCCTCTCCCCTTTTGCCACAGAGATGATTACACAACGTACATCTACTTCTGGCAGAGCTCCATGGTAAAAGGGGAGAGGAAGTGACGTATGATGCTGTGACGGCAACACAGGAGGCTTCCTGCATAGCATTTGCAATAATGGGGGGAAGTCGGGTGGTGGATGCTATCCTCATAGGATGGTGCCAAAGGTAAGTCAGGCGATGTGGGGTGACAAGTTCTCTATTCCCCCCCCCAGGACCCCACAGATTTGCCAGGATACATGGTGAATCCTGATGTTAATGTGATAAGGCCCTGTGTAGACAGATGAATTGACTGTAAACCAAACTGATCTGCCATCTACATGCTAGCACCCACTTTTTCCTGTGCTCTGTGGTATAGGCAAAAGGGTATGAATCAGGCTTGTGTCGTTCTTGTGTTAGATGGGCACAGAGCTCCTAAGAAAGATCACATGGAGACTTGGTCATGCAGCGAGCACTCCTACATAGCTCTGTGGTTGTTCAGCAGCAGTGATGGGTACATACAGGATAAGGTGACAGTCCTGCAGGCCAAACCATTTTTTGTCCTTCTGGATGGTCTGGACTTAGTTTCAATGCTGCAGGTGTAGCCCCCCTCCCCAGAGGGGGGAAGGGGGGTTGGTCTGGAGTATTGCTACTCAGGATTGGCCTTTAATTTCATCCTAGGATACCACCAGATGCAGCAATGATACTTAAAGTGGAAAAATAGTACAATAAATGTATAAAACGACCTTAGGATGATATAAGTGGTTTTCCTTAGATTACCTTGGATTGGATTTTTCTTTTCCCCTCAGAAAGGAAAATCTACATAAAGAAATGTTTCACGCATAACACTGTTTATATTGTAACAAGTGAAATTAATATCTGTTGTTTTGATTTCAGATACCTTTAGTTTACATTTGTTCATATTCTTTCTTTGGCCCAAGACCAAATCAAAGGCATAAACTCTCCCTTCATACTAGTTCTTGGATTTATCTAAATGGCAATTCCATGCAGTGACATTCTTGTATTGGCCAACTTATTTGGAACTTAAGACAGCTTGAGGCACAGCTGCCAACATCATGCATGCATAGTTTGAAACAATGACAAAAACAATCTGAAAGAACCCTGAAAGACAAAAAAGACAATAGTTTATCCCTTCTTCTCACTCTCTTGATCCTTCAAAGGAAATGTTTTTAAAGCAAAAATAAAATCTGGTAACATTGGTTTAGAAATTGAATCTATTATTAAAAAAAAAACCAAAAACAAAAAAACAAAAACAAACCAAAACCAAACAAAAAACAAAAATGAAATGTGTATAAAATTGCCTTACTAAAAATATAAAAAACCAAATCAGATTGATTAAATTGAGTGTTGTGGATTCTTCATTTCATGAAAATCCAGTTTATGTGTATATTTTCACATACTACAGAAAATATGCTGGAAAAATGAACCATACTTATTGTCTGCTATCTCACAAAAATGCAGAATATGGCATTGCCATTTTGGAGGTATGCACATTGATCCTGAGTAAATCCAACTCTTTGACTCTTAGAGGAGAAAACATCTTCTGAAAACTTCTTACCAAGAAAACACTTGTGTAGCCTTGCCATTAGTTGAAAATGACTTAGGCCCTATTGCATAGAAATGCGGTGTTGGGAGAACATTATCTTTAGGTGTCCAGTTTAACTTAGTTAAAAAAACCTGGGAAGATGTGCACCTTCCAGGAAGGTCTGCATGTTCCCAGATATGGGGCCTGATCCTCGAGATTGCCATGATCAATCCCAAGGCTCAGTCCCCAAAGCCATCCCGTCTCCTCGGACTCTGATAGACCAGGAGGATGGGGACAGGGATGGGATGGTAGTGCCTCTGGGTGCATCAAAATGACATGTCAGGAACTTTGGAGAGGGGAGGGGGATTCTGACCACCCTGGAAAGCGGCGTATCTGGTGGGGCTTAGCTGGCCTTCATATGTGAACACTGATGTCATTCACATGTGGGCCTGTGTGGAAGCGGCCTTAAAGGAACACAACAATACAGTTTCTAAAATAAGGAATTATTTACCTTTGAATATGATTTTATGGCTAGTATCGATGTACATGGATTGCATAGTTAAAGAGGATAGCATTTTGAATAGAATCAAATATTTTTCCTCAAATTGTCTTTTCCATCAACCTTAGTATATTGTTCCTATAACTAACCAGTAAAACAGGCTAAGAGACTTTCTCTTTGTGTGTGTGTGAGAGTGAGAGAGAGAAAAAGAGAGAGAGCAAGAGCACCAAGGTCGCTAGTCAACCTTTCACAACTATAATACTCCTATTCTGCTTTAATGGCCAAGCTTATACCTTTTTGAATGACATCAATAGAATTAGAATTCAGATAGAGAACTTTAGTGCAATCCTAAATTACAAATCCCAGAATTCCATAGGATGAAACCAGGATATCAAAATTGTAACCAAAGTGCTATAGTTGTGTAGTATGAAAGGGCATCCTGCATGCTTAATGAAGGAGTGAGTTTTGAAGCTTCTGCAATAAGACTTTCAAGAATTTGGTAAAGTTTGTATTTTGGCTGGGTATTTCAGGACTTTTTTTGGGCATAGAATAAGTCCTATACTGTAAAGAGTGCTTGAAAATGGTGCAATTTTCAATGACATTCCTACAGTTAGAGAAAAAATTGTTATATTATTTGTTCTTGCATAGAAAAATGAAATTTACAAAGATTTTCATTGTTTTTAGCCATAATGCTGGCACATGGCCAGGTGTGAGACATGATGGATGTATGGAGCTGTCAGAGGGGGTTGGGTAGGGTGGAGATGATGAGCTGATAATTCCCAGAAGCGGTGGCCATTAAAGTGACCAGTGTCCCATAAAGTGGGGCACTTAGCCTTGACAAACTGCAGAACTAGTTCAGGTAGGTGAGGAAGGCCATCTAACAAAGCAACTTCCCATGTATCACAGTTTAATTACTCTATTCCAGCTCAAAATATGAGGTTTGCTGAGGTCCATGGCATCTTCTAGTAGCCTGACCTGGGAATACTTTACCAACTTTTTAACCCAGTCCTCCTGAGCTTCAAAAATTAAATAGTTTATGCCCTCCTATCCAGAAAGGTGTTGCTTTCTGGATATTACTTTTTGGATTACAACCCCATAAAGTCCACACAACTGTCAGAGCCAAGTGTGGGTTTTGTACTCCAAAAGTACCTTTTCCAATCTCTCCGAATGTGGAAGCCTGGCAAAATGTGTCCATTTCCTGCCACCAGAGAGAAAGATCAGCAAACAACTACTACTAGGTCTTCTGTAATGCAATAGACCCCACTTCCTCTCCTCCCAGCCCCAGCCCAGGCCTCACCGTGGTTTAGAGGCAGCATGTTGAACCTGTGGATCTCCTTGGCGTAATACTCCTCCTGAGATGTCTCCTTGGGGTCTTCGACCACCTGCTCCCGGATCACCTCCAAGGTGCTGTTGTAGAGCGCCATGATCTCATCGGACAAGACCCTGGAGTCTGGGTCTTCCACCTCTGGTGGGCTGGAGAGCTTGAGCTTGCTGAGGATCTGGCCTCGGATGGCTTCGATGCGCTTGCGCTTCATCATGTCCATGTCCAGGGTTTTGCAGGTGGAGAGGGCCAAAGCGGAGCAGAAGTGCTCCAAGGCCAGGAGCAGGAGGAAAAGCCAGC